GACACGATAAAGTGATTTTGCAGCATGACAATGCTCGACCCCATGTTGCGAAAGTGGTCAAGACATACTTGGAAACGTTGAAATGGGAAGTCCTACCCCATCCGCCGTATTCTCCAGACGTTGCTCCTTCTGACTATCATTTGTTTCGATCAATGGCACACGGTCTGGCTGACTAGTACTTCCGGTTTTATGAAGAAGTAAAAAATTGGATCGATTCGTGGATCGCCTCAAAAGATGATCAGTTTTTTCGACGCGGGATTCGTACGCTGCCCGAAAGATGGGAGAAAGTAGTGGCCAGCGATGGACAATACTTTGAATCATAAATGTATAATCAGTTTTTTACAATAAAGCCTCGAATTTCGGAAAAAAAACGGCGGAAACAAAGTGGTACACCTAATATATATAGGTACCTATATATATATATATATACACACACATATATATATATATATATATATACAACTTTATAAGTGTACCACATCTAAATCGCAATTTGAACAGATTTCGAGAGAGATATATAAAAATTGTTCAATATTTACCATTGAAATCGAGATCTAAGTTTTCCTTTTTAAATAACACTTTACTTTAAATACGAAGTGCTACTATGGTCTGAGTAAGTATTGGGATGTTGAACTAATATACAATATATATTCATATAAATGAATGATTAATTTCAGAAATGATAATTACGTGCTGATATGGTTGTCGGACTTTCAACGCAATCAATCTGAAATATTAATAATCCCCCCAAAGTTCCCAAATTAATCTTAAAAAACTGTAATAAATTTATTGCGAAAAATATTGCCTCGACCGGAAGTCGAACCCGGATCTCTTGCATTCTGTGCGAGCGTCCTGAGCCTTTAGACCACCGAAATCTTAACAATATTCTTCGCAATAACCGATATGTATAGAAAATTATATATAAATGAATTAATTTCAGAAATGATAATTACGAGCCGATATGGTTGTCGGACTTTCAACACAATCAATCTGAAATATTAGTAATCCCCCCAAATTTCCCAAATTAATTTTAAAAAACTGTAATAAATTTATTGCGAAAAATATTGCCTCAGCCGGGAGTCAAACCCGGATCTCTTGCATTCCGTGCAAGCGTCCTGAGCCTTTAGACCTTTTCCTTTTTATTCTACTTACATATATTATTCACATGAAAGTAAGAAAACCCAAAAAGTAACAAATTTCGCTGTTTCGAGAAAATGTCATTTAAACTCATTTTCGAAGCCGCTTATAGAGGATGATAAATCAATTTTTCTAACAAATATCAAATTTTCTGAACAAATGGCACTCATTTTAGTTAACAGGAGGTAGAATACTAACTTTTCATCGTTACTTTTTCAAGACTAATTAGATAACTTCTCTTGTTAAGTATGAAACGCTACTGTGTTTCTTGAATAATGCAATTTCAGACATCTTTTAATATTTTGAAATGTGTGTTTGCTAGATAAAATGGTAGCAATGGTTACAGAGAATATATAACCATATAAAATTAATGTTTTTTCTTATACATATATATCTTTTCATATGCATTATGAATAAAATATGAAAACAATAATTAAAAATTCAGAACAAAGCTAATGAAAGTCTAACGCTGATGTAAAAGTGAAAAGTTAGGAGATGCAGATAATACTCAAGTGTTGGCGGTTGTCTTCATTTATTGTAGCGAATATTTCGGCTCATTTTTGGAGTCATCTTCAGCGAAAAAGTAGAATATAATACCTCATTGAAAGTAAGTATTTACCGTAGATTGGTAGAAATGCAGTAATCAATACGTTCAATCAAAACAAAGAAGTTCACACACATTAGTTCAATTAGCAGAATTTTCAGATATAAATTAATACAATTCCTTGGATTAATATCGTGTCAGTTCATCTTGACGTGTCGTTTGAAGTCTTACATCAGCGTTAGATTCTTATTAGCCTTGTTCTGAATTTCTAATTATTGTTTTTAAGATTGAAAGTCCTTATTTATATATTCATATATTTATGTAATATACAATGTATTGTTTATAGTTTATAAACTTCATAAAAACAAAAATCATAAAATATTCTTAATTGATAAAAGCGTTGCATGGTTATTTTATTGTACGTATTTGTTTTACTTGCTTGCTGAGGAGTCCGTCGTACAATGAATTTTTGAACTAAATGTCTTTATCTTGAAGCCGCCTCCATAAAATTTTTTAGTACCTACCAAAATATCTGGAAGCATAGTTTTATAAGTAGACTTCATTTCTTTAATTTTTTGGAGTTTCCTTTTTTGTGCATGAAATATTTTCGTCAACTCGCACATCTCATTGGTCATTGTTGTCATGTCATCTTTAAATCCGCCTACTTGGGATTCATACATATTCAGCTCCGCGGTGAGACACTGTAGAAAAAAATAAACGTTCATTTGTGACAATAGCCTTAAGAGGATATTAAAATCATCTGCTTTATCGATTCAATAGAACTACACACGTACATATAATACATATCACTACATAGGGGAGATCGAAGTTTGTTGGCATAAGAGGCAAATTGGCATTCCATTTATGTATTTATGATAAAGAAAACAAGTTACTGCAAAATGTTTCTTTTTTAGCATAAGTACTTTTCCCTTTAAGTTTTATGTAAATCAGACAAGATTTTACAATAGAAAATCAATAGAAAAGATATACAATAGAAGATCAATTTCAATAGAAAAAGAAAAAAGATTCAAGAACAGGTAAATTTTTTAGTACTTCAAAATTTCATAGTCACTAATAATTTAATAATGAAAAAGTATTATATTTTTGTACAAAAAACGAATACCGATACTTAATATTGTAATTAATATTGTTTCCTTTATTCTTATTTAATCGATAGAGAAGATAAAGATCTTAAAAAAAGTACGAGGGCAAGTCAATAAGTTTTTAAAAAAACATAGTAAAACACATTTTTTTTATTCGATTCATTTTTATTTCTCAATATGGTTTCTTTTCAGCTTAATACACTTGATCCAATAATTCTCCAACTTTTTCAAGCCGTCTGAATAATATGATTTGTCCAACCCTTCAAAGTAAACCTCTGTTTCGGCGATGAGCTGTTCTGTGCTGGTGAATCTCTTTTCTACGAATCATTTCTTCAGGTTTGGAAACAGGAAATAGTCGCAGGAGACTGAATCTAGCGAATATGCTGGATGGGAAAGCAATTCATAGCGGAAATTCATTGAATTTGGCCATCGGTGCCGTGTGAACCCGTGCATTGTCTTGATGGAAGAACACTTTCTTTTTCGTCAAATGGGAACGTTTTTTCTTTAAAATGTTGTGAAACAGTCCAATAAGGCTGCGTAGTAATCGCCATTGATCATTTGCTTCGACGGAAGGTAATCGATGATATGAATTATACCGCGTGCATTCCAAAAAACTGTGGCCATCACCTTTTCGACCGATTTCACGATCTTCGTCTTCTTCGGAGCTGATTCACTCGGTGAAATCCATTGTTTTGACTGTTCCTTCGTCTCGGGTGTGAAGTAATGGATCCATGTTTCGTCCATAGTAATGAATCGACGCAGAAATTCATTTGGATTACATCTCCAAACTTTGTTTTGAAATCATCACATGATCGCGCTTATGGTGATCAAACGCGGCACCCATCTTGCCGATAGCTTTTTCATACCCAATTGTTCGTGCAAAATTGAAATCACTGTGTCACGTGATATGCCTGTGGCCTCAACAAGCTCGTGCATTTTCATTAGTCCATCAGTCAAAACAATATCGTGAACTTTATCGATGATTTCTGGCGTAGCAACCTCAATTGGACATCCCGAATAAAGTGCATCACATGTGGATGTACGACCACGTTTAAATTCATTCACTCAATTGTATACAGTCGCAAATGCTGATGCAGATGTGCTATGATTATCCAATTCGGCTTTGATTTCTTTCGGCATGAAACTTTTCATATATAGATGTTTGATCACTGCACGAAACTCGTTTTTTTCCATTTTGCAAAAAATAAAGATTGTTCGTTTTAATTGTCTACAGAAATGAAACCACTCGATGAATTCCGCTCAAAATTTAAGTTAATAATAATCAGCTGAAAGATGCTACTTGTCAAAAAGTAATATAACATGACACTGCGAGTGCCCTCTAACAGATTTTCTAAGAATTTATTGACTTGCTCTCGTATTATGCTTTCATTTTGGAGCCCTTGGGGGGGTCACTTAAAGAAAACTTATTTCATTAGAACACAATTAAAAAATCTTTCAATGTTCTTATTGTATATGTATCTTTTATCTTAATTTGTGTAGTTTCTTAAATTCGAGAAATATAACTCGTTATGTCTCTCTGGCGTGCCATGTACTACTCAACGACGTTCCATTGATCATCAAAATATCAAATCTTGCTTGGATTTTTCTGCGAATTTGTCGCCAAATAACGCTACGCAAAGTTTGCTGTCAATTTGCTGTCAATTAATTTGTCGCTATACAATAAGCAAAGGCTTGCTATCAATTTGATAACAACTTGTCCTTAAACAATGCTACACAAATCTTGCTGCCAATTTGGTGTCAAGTTGTATAAATATTGCTTTTTTTTGTCATCAATTTGCTGCCAAATTGTGACATATAATTTTGTTATTTACTTGCAAATTGCTGACACTATTTGATATATTAAATCTTGCTGCCAATTTGTACCCTTTTTGCTAACAAAGATTTGCAACAAGGTTTTATAAAATTAGTTTTCGACAAGCAGGATAAGTATGTGTATGCTGTTCCCGTATTATTTTATCTGATCGAAATTTTTACCATAAGCAGCGATGCAAGAGTGAATTTCGCAAAATATTATGTCTGAAAAATTTTTTATGATAGTTATATGAGTAAAATTATATATATATATATATATAAATCGACAAAACGTATTTTCTCTTTAATAGATGAAAGATTTTGAAAGAAAAGTTATGGGATTTAATAGTGCGATATTTAAAAAAAATTATAAAATCTTTTTTTTGCAATAAAAACCGCAAAAAGTTTTCAAAGTTTTTAATATTTTTTATTAAAATGATGTTCGACTTATCTAGTATACCATATTTAGTTGTTTTTTTTCAAAACGATCAGAAAGGTAGTACATAGCTTAAAATAGTGAAGAGTTTGAGCGTGTGGCGTACAGTTAGCTGGGTGTTGTATGAGATTCGGCTACGCATATTATACTAAGTATTAAATTCAGCTATGTACATATGCTTACGTGAAAACTCGAAAAAATTGAGAACCGTCTCCCACATCTTTAATTTTTTTGGCAGCGAGTAGTTCTCTATCCTGCTTTACATGAAATATTTCTATGTTCATAATAGACTTATTTTAGTCTTTCGCGCTCTGGGTCGCGTGAATCACTGTAGAACACTATCAGCTATGATTATTAATGTTAGCGTGGTTACCATTATTGTTTAATTTTAACGCTTGGTGAACTTTTCAGTAAGCCCATTCACAACGCGTCTTTATATACATAACACTTATTTAAAAATACTTGCCATATTGGTTCTTTTTTGCTATTTTGTTATTTTCCTTTTGATTTGACTTGGTGCAGTAGAAAATGTCTGCGTCACTGACGAATCATAAATGCGCTGTGTATAATAACTTTTTTTAGCATGAAGTACCTGATAAAGAAAGAAAAAAAAATAATTAAAGTTAGAGATGAAGCAATTCATTTTGGTAATGAGTTTTAACGACCAATTGTTGTTCATAACATTTTATGTGGAAAATGTCGAGTTTTCCAGTATAAAAAAGCAAGCTTGATATTGAAGACGAAAGTGATAAATAATCAACTTCTAGTAATCCAACAGTATGCATTTTAAATCTAAAGTAGACGAATGATGAACGAATTGAAGTTCAAATCTAACGAACCATTTAGATTTACAAGTTGTGCTGTAAAAAATATCACTGTTATTTCAAAAGAAGCGCGTATGCAGTCCTTCATTAAGATGAAGTTTTCTCTACCAGCTTCTTCTGGAGTGACAGTGATATTTTTTACAACAGAATTTATGAATATAAATGGTTGGCTGGATTTGAATAATTCGTTTATCATTCGATTTGTCTACTTTAAATTTAAGATGCATACTGACTGTCAGATTATTAGAAGTTGATTGTTTATACTTTTGTCTTCAATATCAAACTTACTTCTTTATATTGGAAAACTCGATATTTCCCACATAAAATATCATGTACAATAATTGGTCATTGAAGTTCATTACCAAAATAAATTGCTTCATTTCCAGTTTTAATTATCATCTTTTGTCCAGGTACTTTATGCAAAAATTTATCGCACCCAACATATTTAAGATTAAAGACGCGTTGTGAGTGGACATACTGAAAAGTTCACCAAGCGATCAAATTAAATAATAATGATATCTGCGTTAATATTAATAATCAAAGTTGATAGTGCTCTACGGCGATTCACGCCACACAGAGCGCGAAAGATTAAGATATGACATCTACTATGAACATAGAAATATCTCACGTTAACAGCAAGATAGAAGACTCGCTACAAAAAAATTAAAGACGTGGGAGACGTCCGCAGTTTTTTTGCAAGTTGTTCTCATATAAGCATGTATATATAGCTGAGTTTAATACCAGTAGTGTAATATGCATAACCGAATTTCATGCAATATCCAACTAACAGTATGTCACACGCTCAAACTTTATTATTTTGATCTATGTATTACCTTTCTCATCGTTTTAAAAATTAAAATATCTTATACTAAATAAGTCGAAGATCATTTTAGTAAAAAATAATAGTAGTATCTTAAGTACATCCTATTAAAAAAAATATATTAAAGCTTTGAAGACTTTTTGCGACCAGTCAAAAAAAAATTTCATAGTGTTTTTTAAACATTTCACCATTAAATCTCATAACATACTTTTCTTTCGTCGAAATCAATTTATCCATAAAAAGAAAATTCGTTTTATTGATTTTTAATTTTATCCATATAACTATCATAAAATTTTTTTTCAGATATAATATTTTGCGAAATTTATTCTTACATCGTTACTAACTTATAGTAAAAATCTCGACCAGATAAACGCGGAGGCAGCATATACATATTTATCTTACTAGGCCCTTTAGCTGGGTCACTATAAATTTATCTAAAATATTGGGAGTATAAATTAGTTCGGTCCGTTTTTTTGTGTTCAAAAATGCATTTATTTCAAAACAAAATGAATGAACAGATTAATTAAAGTATTGTCTATCGCTGGCTACTACTTTTTCCCATCTCTCAGGCAATTTTCGAATTCCATCTCGAAAAACGAATGACTCGTCTTTGGAGGCAATCCAATTTTGGAACCAATTTTCAATTTCTGCGAAAGAAGTGAACCGGTGACTTGCCAAATAGTGCTGCATCCTTCGGAATAACCAG